GGTGGTCGATTCGTGCATTGTTGGCACTCATATACACACACATTGTCTGGGTGTGTACAGTTACCGGAAGAAAGTGGTGCATATTTGTAGCCGAGAAAAAAAACTCCAGTAAGGCCAACTTACCGATCGTTTCAAATCGAGCTGCATCTGTAAAACAGAAAAGAGGGATGGATGGCTGTTTAGTTTTATTCCCCACTGCCGATTCCATGTTGAACACAATTGGTACAGGCATCCAGTCACTCCGGATTGTCAGAAATATGTGCAAGCCAGAAAATAGTTTGCGTTGGATGCACCAGCTCACAAAAACCGGTCGGGTTAAACAAGCTCTGTTATTAGCAATAACTGTTGAGTCGGCTGGGTATCTCACGGAGAACGGGGGGTGGGTAGGGCTGTTGACCCCTTCCCTCCAAACTCCAATCTTTGTGGTTCGAATCCCGAGAGGAGCAGACAACTTTCAAAGAGCAACGAGGACTAAAAACAGCTCCACAGTGTTGTACAAAATCAAGATCGAGTGATACTATGAATGCTACTTTGTGCACTGTCTATCACCATGGTTTTTTCCCCATGAAGCCCATTCGCACATTCGCAATTCCGAGAAATTTGCACCAAAAATAAATTCAAGTAACGTGACTTTAGAATTAAAAGAAAATGAGTACTAGATTTGGTTATCCAAAATTTGTTTTCCTTCATGCGGCTACAAATCACTGATGGCGAATGCTGGGACCTTTGGTTTCATGGATGGAAACTGGTTACGTCACACAACAATGTCTAATTTTGATCGCTTTCAAGCGTTTTCTGCTCTCAAATTGATTGGTTAATGCTGTTCTGCTTACGAACTACACTAATGGTCAACAGCTAATCAGAAGGAACCAGTGTAAAATATGCCTATTGAGGTCATTTATTGTAAAAACCTCCTATCCAACCGAAAGTCCTCCCGTCTCTTCACCAAGGGGTTAGAATTCTAGCGGGCTTGGACTACTGGCAAGGATGAAATATCTACACAATACTTCGACGGGTTTTTCCTTGGCTCATGCAACCAGTGTTAACTCCGAAACCGACATTTACCCCGGCGTAGAACGATCAGAAACCTCCTTGGCCAGACCTCAATGACGAAGAGGAAGCAGTCAAACCGGAGCGGGAGATGAAGATTCATAATACTGGTGTTTAAACCGTAGATTACACGTTCTCCGGTTTGTTATTATTACCAATATATCTGTTATTATTATTATTATTATCGTCGTTATCGATCAGATGCTCAAACCGGAGGAACTACAATGGGATAAGCATGAATATTAACTGAGCATAACTAACAACCTCATCGTTTTTCCACAACGCATTTTTCATCGCTTGTTTTGAACAGAAACAGTGAAATCATTTCTACGAATGTCTACGTTTATAGATAAACACATCAATGCGCGGCGATTGACTGCAATGAAGCTGTATAGGCAGCTGATGTCCGACGGCGATCTTACTGGGAACTTATACAAACACACTACACAACATTAAGCATCACGGATGATGGTGGTCTAAGTTGTTGTTAATAGGGTGTACCGGCTCACGAGATCTGGGGTTTGAACCTTGGCGCCTTCACTTGACTTTCGAACCATTTTGGCTCATTACCACCCCGCTAAAATACCACGTTTATCGCACTCACATATGACTATCAGATAAAGAGCTCGAATTTTGGTTTTCAATACCGAAAGTTAAACCCTTCCTTTGATGGATTCCTACCCCTATAGAATGCATCGAGGTGTGGCAAACAAACAATCAGACATTCTTTCATTCTCTGGTTCGCCAACATGAGAGTTAAGATGAGAAACATACATGCTGGTCACCTATTTCAGTCTTCAGTACCCACCGACCCCAAATGGAGATATAATCTATAATGAATGGTGCAAAAGGCAATAGTGCGATTGGCCTGTTCGTCAAACAGTACTTCTGCTACTTCCTCACTATTAAATTACTATGAATATCAAATAAGCAAATGGTCATTTGTAGAGAAAAGTGGTACTGCTAACTAATTCCACTTGGGATTTTCTTCGACTTTTCTCTGTTTCCCGGTAAACATTGAGATAAATCGATAGGTGGAAAATAAACATTTCCCCTTCATCTCCCATCGTTCAAATCCGATTAGAGAGTATACAAAAACCATTAGCAATTCAAAAGACATCGAGTTCCCCAATATATAACATTAGCCGTTCCCTTTAAGTACAACTGCTCTGGTTCATGACATTGGTTTGTCACAGTTTACCAGTCGGCTTCTCTGTGAACAGAAGACTCATCAGGCTCATCAGGCATGCTTCACAAATCCGGTGGCTAGTTTTGGTAATTTAATGCAAGACACCTCCCTATTCGGTCACATCAGATGGATTCCAATCACAAGAAAGTTTACAGTTTCAAACAGCATATTGTAGGCATAGCATACATTTTTATATACAAGAACTTAAAAACAACAATGCAGTACACACAAAAAGTTTAACATAAAATACCAAGAACGGGTAACATAGAGTAAATGTGGCTATTAGCAACATATTAGAGGCAGTGGTAAAGTGATATCAGTCTAATTCAGAGACAATTACGTAATCAAGCGGTCGAACGTATTCCGGATTCGGTGCAGCCCATGGTAAGCACAATTCAAACACAATACTCGAGCATCATCAACCGTGAAGAAACTGCGTTAGTACCACGTGACCAAGTCAACTGGTAGAAGTCATTCTGAACGATTTACTGAATCAAAAGACTTTCTTTTCGACGACTGACAGAAGCGATAAAAGTCAACCGACGGAAACTAACTCCGTGCCCGGAGAAATACTTTTATGTTACCTTTATCATGTGTTAGACCATTAGTCTTTTCTCCCCCAACAATTCGTCATTCCCTAGTAGTCACCCAATATATGAAATCATTATTTTTCTACAGCAAGTACCACGTGTGATGCTGTGAAATGAATTAGGAAACACATTGCAGATTCACGATTTTGCTTCAATTTTCCCTCTTGGTGTACCGTCACAAATGAGCGATTTCTCTGTCTCTCCACTGTTCGCATCTACTCCTTACCACCCCTACACAATTGTAATTTGTTATCCACTCATTTATTTGGTCTGATCTTGATACTGGTTAGCATGATCTTCTCCAGTGTTGCTTGAACTACTCGGAGGAGCTGACTGTGATCAACACCGAGTACAAAACAACTGGTATTGAATACTCGGACGGTAAACGCATTAATTCATGGAGGAAACCCCCCGGTTACTTTTATTATTATTATTATTATTATTATTATTATTATCCTCAGCGTTTCTATTCATTTTTATCAATTTAATGATGATACAATTTTTATGAAGAGTAAGCGGCCAATCAAAGGGGTGCCATGCAGAACGCTGCCCATGGAGCTAGTCAGGCGTTAGCGGTGATGGGAGTCAAACACCCGTCCTCCATGGCGATAAATTGGTGGCCGTTACCACTCGGCCATCACAACTCAGAATGGAATAAATTATCATTTCTGGATCATCCAGCTCACCCTCATCTGATATTCTCAGTGATTTGTGTCTGGCAACTTTTTAGACTGATTACAGGAATACAGAAAGATACACTCTGAGCCTTTATGGACACAATCCGCCGTTTACGCATTCTAGTTATAATATAATCTGCTACCATTTGCATGCACCCGACTGATACTGATTTCAATCACGTCGGGAGTTTGGGCCCACTTGTAAAACTGACTCCTCCCCAGTATTGTCGCCTAGTCTTATGAACAAATTCTACAGTTAACATACTACTGATTTTCTGTTAAGATCTACTGAGTGGAGCCCTTTTTCACTCGCTCGGTTACTCACTCATACTTTCCTTTTACACTAGAAAAAGGATTGGCTTACTATGATTGATCAAACTACCGGTATCTACACTCATCAGAATCATGAAAATGCAGTTTCTTGCTCTCTGGTTCTTTCTACGAAAAGTGATCATTGGAAGGGGGCTTCCAGCC